CACAAAAAGATCCACACAGGGGAAAAACCATTTAAATGCATGGAGTGTGGAAAGACCTTTGCTCGTAGAGATAATCTTATTTCCCACAAAATGATCCACACAGGGGAGAAGCCATATAAATGCATGCAGTGTGGGAAAACATTTACTCATAGCAGAGGACTTACTATCCACCAAAAGCTGCACACAGGAGAGAAACCATATAAATGCATGGACTGTGGAAAAACCTTTGCTCTGAGCAGTAGACTCACCATCCACAAAAAGATCCACACAGGAGAGAAGCCGTATAAATGCATGGAGTGTGGAAAGACCTTTGCTCTAAGTAGGAGACTCAATATCCACAAAAAGATCCACACCGGAGAAAAGCCGTATAAATGCATGGAGTGTGGAAAAACCTTTGCTCTGAATAGTAGACTCACTATCCACAAAAAGATCCACACAGGGGAGAAGCCATATAAATGCATGGAGTGTGGAAAGACCTTTGCTCAAAGAGGTAATCTTATTTCCCACAAGATGACCCACATAGGGGAGAAGCTGTATAAATGTGTAGAGTGCGGAAAGAAATTTGCTCAACGCAGTTACCTTGCTTCCCATAAAAGAATCCACACAGTGGAGAAACCATATAAATGCATTGAGTGTGGAAAGACCTTTGCTCAGCGCAGTTATCTTGTTTCCCATAAAAAAATCCACACAGTGGAAAAGCCATATCAGTGCATGGAATGTGGAAAGAGTTTTGCTCGAAATCGTAGTCTGTCTTCTCATAAAAGGATCCACACTCAGGAGAAACTATATAGTAATAACAATTTCACTTAGCCTTATATACCATTCCACAATGCTTTCCAGCACTCTTAAGAGATTTAGAAAGTCAGCATATTGTCCCTAGCAATCTGGGTCCTCAAAAAAGATGAGATGCTGAATCAATCTTGAACCAATCAGGATCAAACTCCTGGCTGTGGGCAATTAGCCTGCACTGCATTCTAACCTCTGACTCTGATTTTTATGTGTATGCATATTGTGCCTTTCTGATGCAAATGAGACAATGTAGAATCTAACAAAATGAAATTTAATGTGGAGGAAAAAAAGGTTTTACACCTGGGTGGGTGGAAAAAACAGATTACATGAAATCTGGCTCAAAAATGATAACTCTGAGAGGGACCTTGGGAGTCCAAATGGTTGATTACTTAAACATGAGCATGATAGCAGTATTCCAGTGTTTGAGAGGCTGCCACAAAGAGGAGGGGGTCATTTTTTTCCGAAGTGCCAGAGGGCAAGGCAAGCAATGGACCTCTTAGAGTAACCAAGGAATTTGTTTACAGTGAGGATAATTAATCACTAGAAAACAGCTTGCCTTTAAACATTGTGCTTGCTTCATCACTGGACATTTTTAAGAAGAGACTGTACAGACACTTGTCTGAAATGATATAAGATCTACCTGAGCTGGACTAGAAGAGCTCCAATTTCCCTTCCAGCTCGATTCTGATTCTTCACTCCAGCTTTTTTGCTAAGTAGGAGGTTTAAAGCACACACGAGCATCAGTGGAGATAAAGGTTATCATTTGCCTGAAAGTGATGTGTGGCTGCCAATATTTAAGTGGTGCATATTCCCTAATCATTTCAAGGAACTCTCTCTGATGAGTATGTCCACTAGAGCAGAGTTGCAGTCAGAAATGCAATTAGTCCTAAATCCCTTATTATTGTTTCCACTTTTCTTACTATTGTCACAGTCTGCCTTTCCACCCTGCTTTACATGATGTAATGCAAGTAATAACTGAGAAAGAAAACCATAAGGAGAATGCAGTTATAGTGATTCTGAATTAGAAAATGCAACTCTTGGGCTCTTCGTCCTAACTTTGTGATGATCTTTCCTTACCTTCCCTCCTGTTGCTTATCTCGACACAATCACATCAATACCTTTTTAAAATGAGGTCTCCAGAACTGGACACAGTTTTCCAAATGGTGTCTCCTTTTTCTTGATGGTGATACATCTGGTGATGCATCCCTGAATTTTGTTTGCCTTCACAGCTGCGTGGCCACACTGTTTACTTCTTTTGCAGTTATCTTTTTTTTCAGTGCCATGGTAACTTCTTTCACATAGTTGTGAAAAAAGAATGCTGCTTGAACTCATTTATTGAAATGCAGAATAGTTGTAGTGTTGTGGAAATATGCATACCTTTGTGTCTGTTCCAAGCTTCCTCCACAAAGGGAGCATTAAAGGAAGTAGTGTCAACTCTCAATATGACTCTAGCTGAAGCCATATTGTTCTTACTTTGTTTCTTAGTTTCTATACTTATGGGGGAGGGGGATTTATGGAATGTAGAATGTTTGCTCCAATGTGCCAGACATAAAAACAGTAAGACTCCTGAGAACCAAGGCCAAATCAACATGCCCTAGCAACAGCAAGAGGGACCGCTGAGAAGTTAATCTGCTTGGTTGGTTAATGTGACCTGTGACACAAGATGGATGGGCAGTATCTATTTTTACTTATACCAGAACCACAAGAATTATTGAATTTTGGTTTCACTTTTGACCGTGTCAATATGATGTACCCAATAAACTGGATTTTTGAGGAAGCCAAGGCCTCAGAGTCTTGAATTAGTTGGGTGCATTACTTGGAACCATGACAAGTATTTTTATTAAGAGAAAGCAGTGGTAGGGAAATGTGGATGCATATTAAGGTCCCCTAGCTAGGCAGGCTACTGGCCAACCCAGTTAGTCCTTGATTTACAATAACTGTTTATGCAAACATTCAAAGTTACAATGGCAACAAATGATGTTTCTGACTTATTTATTTCTTTTCCTCCCTTTCTCCTTCCCAAATTAAGCATACTCCAGGGAATCAGACATAGTGTCTCAGTGGCTAAGAAGCTGAGTTGGTCAATCAGAAAGGTTGGCAGTTTGGTGGTTCAAATCCCTAGCGCCATTTAATGGAGTGAGCTCCAATTACTTGTCCCAGCTTCTGCCAACCTAGTAGTTTGAAAGCATGTAAAATGTAAGTAGAAAGATAAAGAACCACTTTGGTGGGAAGGTAAGAGAGTTCCATGCGCCTTCAGCAGTTAGTCATGCTGGCCATATGATCATGGAGATGTCTTCAGACAGTTCTGGCTCTTTGGCTTTGAAACGGAGATGAGCACTGCCCCCTAGAGTTGGGAACGACTAGCACATATGTGTGAGGGGAACCTTTATTTTTACCTTTAGGGTATCAGAATGAAAACCACTCCAGTGTGCTAACATTGCCAATGAACAATCAGGAAGATCTTAAGAAATCAATGGGGACCAAAATAAGATAAAATTAAGAAGAACTTCTACTTTAAAACACACTGCTCAAAAAAATAAAGGGAACACAAAAATAAGACATCCTAGATCTGAATGAATGAAATATTCTTATTAAATACTTTGTTCATTACATAGTTGAATGTGCTGACAACAAAATCACACAAAAATTATCAATGGAAATCAAATGTAGCAACCCATGGAGGTCTGTATTTGGAGTTACACTCAAAATTAAAGTGGAAAAAAACACTTCAGGCTGATCCAACTTTGATGTAATGTTCTTAAAACAAGTCAAAATGAGGCTCAGTAGTGTGTGTGGCCTCCACGTGCCTGTATGACCTCCCTACAATGCCTGGGCATGCTCCTGATGAGGTGGCAGATGGTCTCCTGAGGGATCTTCTCCCACATCTGGACTAAAGCATCCCCCAACTCCTGGACAGTCTGTGGTACAATGTGGCGTTGGTGGATGGAGCAAGACATGATGTCCCAGATGCGCTCAATTGGATTCAGGTCTGGGGAACGGGCGGGCCAGTCCATAGTATCAATGCCTTCGACACACTCCAGCCACATGAGGTCTAGCATTGTCTTGCATTAGGAGGAACCCAGGGCCAACTGCACCAACATATGGTCTCACAAGGGGTCTGAGGATCTCATCTCGGTACCTAATGGCAGTCAAGCTACCTCTGGCGAGCACATAAAGGGCTGTGAGGCCCCCTAAAGAAATGCCACCCCACACCATTACTGACCCACTGCCAAACCGGTCATGCTGGAGGATGTTGCAGGCAGCAGAACGTTCTCCACGGCATCTCCAGACCCTGTCATGTCTGTCACATGTGCTCAGTGTGAACCTGCTTTCATCTGTGAAGAGCACAGGGCACCAGTGGCAAATTTGCCAATCTTGGTCTCTGGCAAATGCCAAACGTCCTGCACAGTGCTGGGCTGTAAGCACAACCCCTACCTGTGGACATCTGGCCCTCATACCACCCTCATGGAGTCTGTTTCTGACCGTTTGATCATCCACATGCACATTTGTGGCCTGCTGGAGGTCATTTTGCAGGGCTCTGGCAGTGCTCCTCCTGTCCCTCCTTGCACAAAGGCAGAGGTAGCGGTCCTGATGCTGGGTTGTTGCCCTCCTATGGCCTCCTCCTGTCTCCTGGTAGCGCCTCCATGCTCTGGACACTACGCTGACAGACACAGCAAACCTTCTTGCCACAGCTCGCATTGATGTGCTATCCTGGATGAGCTGCACTACCCGAGTCACTTATATGGGTTGTAAACTTTGTCTCATGCTACCACTAGAATGACAGCACTGCCAGCATTCAAAAGTGACCAAACCATCAGCCAGAAAGCATAGGAACTGAGAAGTGGTCTGTGGTCACCACCTGCAAAACCACTCCTTTATTGGGATGTCTTGCTAACTGTCTATGCTTTCCATCTGTTGTCTATTCCATTTGCACAACAGCATGTGAAATTGATTGTCAATCAGTGTTGCTACCTAAGTGGACAGTTTAATTTCACAGAAGTGTAATTGACTTGGAGTTACATTGTGTTGTTTAAGTGTTCCCTTAATTTATTTGAGCAGTGTTCTTCAGTCCTTCCTGATAAAACATGCAGACATGCGAATGGAAACTTTCTCTGGAATATCAAGATGCCAAAAATAATCCAACCTGCCAATAAAGAAGAAAATGTGTAGCTCATGGTTGAAATGAGAGGTCCTTGGTACTGAGCCTGATAGTTTTGTTGCAGACATTTCATTACCCAAACTAGGGAACATCATCAGTGAACCAAGGATCCCTCAATCTAACTTCAGTCTGCTGTGTAAAATTAAGATCTGAGTCAACCAATATGAATGCAGAAGCAGGGAACTTTTTTCAGTGGAAGACTTCTGATGATGTGATAGAATAATGACAGGTGTCAATGTAGAGTTTGTGGGAAAAGCTTCAGTGTGAACAATTTGTCTTTCAAACAAGGGACCAGAACGAACAGGAGCTGAAACAAATGCATGGGCGAAAGATAATTTTTCAAGCATTAGGACCATTTTTTTCCTCTTTTTAAGTTGTGCCATAACATTACGGTAACTTAAAATTAAGTTTCAGTGCTGGTGGTATTTGCTAAATATGCATTGTCAACTCCAAATACAGTCAAATCTTTTCATTTTCCCTCTCTTTATTTCTCAATTAAAGAGCCTCATTATGAGGTAAAATTTATGTGATATCGAGAGATTTCGGTTTTTTTCGGTTTTGGGACTGGTTTTCTTTTTTGTTCAGAATCGCCTTGAGGGCAGGGAGCCATTGAGAAGGGCCTTTCCTCCTACTCCCATTCCCATCATCCCTGCCCTCTCCCTTCCAGAGGCGCTCCTCTTTCTCCTTTTTTTCTAGAATCCTGGCAACTTTTCACGAAATCCACCAGGGGGCGACCTCCGCCAAGGGAAGGGAACTCCAGGCATTTCCTCATTGGTCCACGGATAGCGAAGTTCACGGTGCTTTACCACGGGAGGCCGCGGAAGAAGTCAGGTCACAAACGTTTGCCGCTCTAGGGCGCCGCACTCTCTCTCCTTAACCCGGCGGAGGGGCTGCGGGATAGTCTGGCGGAGAGGTCTGGCGGTGAGGGGGGAGGGGCGGGTTCTTCCCGTGTCCCATGCTCCCCAGCCGCCCTCGGCATACTGAGGGAAGCGGGACAAGCTGGGATGCCTCGAAGGCGACGGGGATCCGGGGATTCCGTCCCGTGTCCGGGGAGGCGCCCGAATAGGGGAAGAGGAGGGTCGCGGCCTTGCGGAGGCCCAGCAGGAGAGGAGAGAAGCCGGGCGAGGAGGAGGCAGGATTCGCACCCAACTCTACGAGGGCCCGATCCTGTCTCGGGAGCGGGAGAGAAGCGGGGGGTGGCTTCTCTAGCTGCCTCTTTCCCGGCCTTGCTTGGAGGGGAAGGGGACACTGCGTTGGGAGAAGCCGCTGGGGCTCAGGGTAGGTTGGGTGAAGGTTGCTCAGTGGCTGAATTCCACTTTCTGATTCTTGGCCTTGGTTTTTCTCTCCATCCCAGGTACAGAAACTCGAAGCCATTTGAAATCTTTGCAAGCCAAAATTCTCTCTTTGGGGGAACAGAAAAAAGAGGAATAACTTGCAGGGATCCGTCCTGCGGCCTCAGAAATGGTCCTGTGAAGGAAAAGGCATCTGGAGATCCACCAGAGTCCTTGGACCCATTTGGAGTTGCTCTGGAGAAGAGAAAAAGAATGGAGAGACAACCTTTTATAAAGGAGGGAAGCAAAAAAGGCCCTTCAGCTGTTCAGCCTGGGAAGGGTGGGGAAATCTGCACAAGAACTGGGCAGAGGATCCTGGAGGAGGAAATAATCCTCCTTTCAGAAGTTGAGCCCTGCAACTTCAGGAGCCTCCAATACCTGGAGCCTGAGGGTCCCCGAGGACTTTGCAGCCGGCTCCATGACTTGTGCAGGCAATGGCTGAAACCAGAAAAGCACACCAAAGCTCAGATGCTGGACCTGGTGGTTCTGGAGCAGCTCCTGGCTCTTCTGCCCCCAGAGATGGAGTGCTGGGTGCGGGAGTGCGGAGCAGAGACAAGCTCCCAGGCGGTGGCCCTGGCTGAAGGCTTCCTCCTGAGCCAGGCGGAGGAGCAGAAGGAGCAGCTCCAGTTGCAGGTGAGAGCTCAAAAGAGAATAGAGAGTGTGCTTGAATGCTTCACTCCTCCTTTCCAAACTTCTCTGACATTCATAATATGTGGCAATTTCCCAATTCTTGTGGGACATTGTTCCATTGTTTTCTCACTCAGCCTCACGGATGGATATTGGAAGCTTTGAGGTTGTGTTCCAAATATAAGAATCCACTTTATGTCATGTGATATAAATTAATTCTGTTTCTTTTTTCCTTCCCCCTATTTGAAGTGCTCCACTGTGGAGATCAGAGATCCTGAGGGAAAGAAGAATCCATCAAATCCCCCTCAGGAGCAATTTTTCAGGAGGATCCCTTGGGAAGATCCAAGTCAGGACACCTCAGGAGGTAATCGAAGATCCTTTGATTACCCAGAGAGATCCCATCTGTCTTACCTTCTCTTCTGTAATATACCTCCTCTTATTCTTTTAAATATGCATTTTGAAATTATTTTATTCTTATAGAAATACAAAGAATGAAGTTGTCTGATTTTTACGATGGAGCTCAAACAGTGGATGAACCTCCAAATCAAGTAAGAAAGCTGAGCATTATTAATTTTGTATTCTCCTTTCCTTGAGGCAGTGAAGAGGGTATATGCAGAGTTGTGTCCCCTATTTTTTACTCTTGTTCTGACTGGATTATTTTTGTGTTCCTGTGCAACATGGGCAGCACAATATTACCTTTCAAGCAAAACTCAGAGGAAGGTGTATTCCTCAAAGAAAGGTTAATTGGAACTGTCAAATTGGCACAAATCTGGTGAAAACCAACTCTGAAAGTTCCTGTGGTTTTTACCTAATTAAAAACAAGTTTTCTTCTCAACCCAAAACAGTCACATGGCCCAATCACTGCAAGCTCCGCTGGTCCATCATTCCTCTGTCATCTGGCCAAGTGTGAGAACGTCTTTGGTTTCCAGGAGCAAGTATTTTATTATGACTACACCCGCTATCTCTAATCCCCCCTCCCTATCCCTTGCTCTAATGTGGCAGCACTGGAGCCTCAAAATGGCATCGGCCAGATCACTTTTTAAAGACTATAGGTTAATTGGTTCTGCTAGGTATTCTTCCAACTGAGTTTACAAGAAGTATTTTTTTTAAAACGTTCTTCAAGAAATAGGAATAAACGTATCACTGTGGTAGTAACTTCTAGAAACCCGTTCGTTTTGTAATTCTTTGACTTGGAATTGTGCAAGGCTAACGAAAAATAACTAAATACTCATATGGCCACATTACCATTTTTAAAAAGCCTTATTTATAACCAGTAGTTCAAAAATCATCAAATCATATTAAAAAATAAAACAGACTATTAAAATCCAAAAAAAAATGGCCACTAGAACATGTAATCAAGGTACTTTGGGCTACAAAATAATTTCCAATCCTCTGATTTGTGCCTGAATTAGGAGATCAAACATTTCAGATAAATGACTGTCCAATTTCTTCTTAAACACCTCCAGTGTCAGAGCATCCACAAGTTCTTGAGGCAAGTCATTCCACTCATTAATTTTTCTCACTATCAAGAAATTTCTCTTTAGTGGTAGGTTAGTTCTCTCCTTGATTAGTTTCCATCCACTGCTTCTTGTCCCGCCTTCATGTTCTTTGGAGAATTGGTTGACCACCTCTTCTTTGTGCCAGCTCCTTAAGATATTGCAATATTGTTATCATGTCATTCATAGTTGTTCTTTTCGTTAAACTAGACATACCCAATTCCAGCAACCATTCTTTTTATATGTTTTAGCTTCCAGGACTCTAATCATTTTTGTTGCTCTGTACTGTTTCTACACTAGTCTCAAGATCTTTTTTACATCATAACAGCCAATACTGAATGTGATATTCCAAGTGTGGTCTTACCAAGGCATTATAAACTGGTACAAACACTTAATGTGTTCTTGATTTGATCCCTCTCTTAGTGCAGCCTATGGTTGTTTTGGGTTTTGTTTTTGTTTTTTTTGGGGGGAGGGGGGCAACTGTAGCACATTGCTGTCTCATGTTTAAGTGATTGTCCAATCGGACTGCAAGATCCCTGTTGTAGTTTCTGGTGTTGAACCTTACATTTCTCAACATTTTTCATTTTCTTATATGGTCCCAATCTATTAATCCTTCTCTATCTCAAGCTTATTTTCTGGAGTGTTGGTATTCCTGTCAATTTGGTCTTGTCTGCAAATTTGATGAGTTCCCCTTCCTCTTGCCTAAATCATTGCTGAAGATGAACAGATCTTGCAAATCCTCCTGCTGTGTTCTTTTTTCCGTGTTCAGGAGAATCTTGTGTCTTTCGAGGAGGTGGCTGTGTATTTCTCTGAGGAGGAATGGTCGCAGCTGGATCCTGACCAGAAAGCGCTGCATTTGGAAGTCATGGTTGAAAACCATAGGAACGTGGCCTCTCTGGGTAAGAGTTTTCTAGTCCCCAATCTTTCTGTGCCATTTCATATCTGTATTTTTCCATTTCTAAAAAGAATGAGGTTGCTTTTATGTGTCCTCCGGAGGGCATATGAGGGGAACGTGTTATCATATGTCCTCTGAAACCTCCCCAAATTGTGTGAGAATAGAACTTTCACGCTAAGGTCATTGAAGAGCATTCTCCCAATATAATTCAAGAATGAAGGACTCATGCAATGTGACTCAGAGCATCTTAGGGTATAGTTAATCACTGAGTTACAACAGTTCCCTTAGCGACAGTTCCGAGTTACAACCTACCCCCCCCCCCCCGTACTTATGACCTATTCCCTAAATTATCAATGTTGCAACACCACGGCCATTATTCACACACATGATGGCAGAGGCATTGCAACAACATTCGTCCTTTGTGTATCCCCACCCCACTGGGACTTAATGTAGCGAGCCGTCTGTTCCTTTGCCTGCTTCGGTGCATTTGCAGAAAAAAAGAGGCCTAAAGTAATAAGAGATACGTGAGATTAAATGTGAACTTTTACTGTATTACTTTAGATCTCTGTTCTCTGCTAACCAAGACCTGCATGAGATCCAGGACAAAGTACTTTGCAAACAGAGGGAAGGCCTCTTCATTTTCAGAGATTTGTGCCCTGGATTTTGTGCAGTCCTTAGTTTGTAGGGAACACAGGCCTAAAGTACTAGAGTATGAGATCAGTAGCCTTAGGTCTTGCACTAGTGGTCTCTTGTTATTTCACACTAAAGTAGTTTAGGCCTCTGCAAATTAAAGCCTGTACCTGATCTGGCCAAAGAGCCCTTGAAAGCCGATGAGACTTTGGTGCAGCAAAAATAGCCATTCTTGAATCCTCCCATCCTATCCAGTCTTAGCACAAAGAGTATTTACAAGCCAATGGGAGGCTTCAAGCAAGGGATTTCACTCTGAAGTTTCATTGCTGGGATCAAGGATTGGATGGAGCAGGGGTCCCGCCAGAGAGACAGCTATGCCAAGGTACACCAGGGAAGTAGGAGCTTGTTTCAAAATGGTTTCAGTTCTCAAAGGTCTCTGCTGAAATTAAATAACCCCAATAAATCTTAAATTGTCTCCTAATTCCCCCTTGGATGTTTCCCCTGATTATTCCTTCACTCAAAACTGATTTTGAGTGAGATTTGCATATATATAGATAATTCTAAAGAAAGAGATGTTTTCTACATATTTTCAGAGCTTTCATGACTCATCAATTTAGAAATCATCATGTCTATATCACACCACTATAAGAATGCAAACATACAACCTAATAGAATTTCGGAGAGATTCAGAAGGAAATTCACTTTACTTTGTACTTTTTCTCTAACCTTTTTATCATTTTCATTTCTCTTTTGCTTTGAAGGTAACAACGGGCAGGAGAATCAAGATTCCTATGAACTGGCCCACGTGATCAGTGCTAAAGATGAAATGGAGAAGTTTAGAATTCAAATGGAATTTGAAAGCCATGAGAGAAACCAGTCAAATGATTGGAACCAGGAAAGCTCATTTTCCACTGGTGCTCCAATGCAAAACTTTCTTGCCCAACAGTTGAAAACATATAACTTCCTTACATCCCAAAAAGTGATTGATACAAAAGAGAAGCCTTATAAATGTTTGGAATGTGGAAAATGTTTTAGAACAAGCAGGCATCTTACTTCCCATGAAAGGATCCACATAGGGGAGAAGCTGTATAAATGTGTGCGGTGTGGGGAAACCTTTCCTTGTGCCAATGAACTTACAATCCATAAAAGGAGACACATGGGAGAGAAACCATATAAATGCATGGAATGTGGGAAGACCTTTGCTCAGAGTAGTGGACTTAGTTGCCATAAAAAGATCCACACAGGAGAGAAACCATATAAATGCACTGAGTGTGGAAAGGCCTTTGCTCTGAATGGTAGACTTACTATCCACAAAAAGATCCACACAGGGGAGAAGCCATTTAAATGCATGGAATGTGGGAAGACCTTTGCTCAAAGAGGTACCCTTATTTCCCATAATGTGATCCATACAGGGGAGAAGCCATATAAATGCATGGAGTGTGGAAAGGCCTTTGCTCAGAGCAGTGGACTTAGAAGTCACAAAAAGATCCACTCGGGAGAGAAACCATTTAAATGCATGGAGTGTGGAAACACCTTTGCTCAGAACAATGGACTTAGAAGCCACAAAAAGATCCACTCTGGAGAGAAACCATTTAAATGCATAGAGTGTGGAAAGACGTTTACTCGGAGCAATGGACTTGCTATCCACAAAAAGATCCATACAGGGGAAAAGCCATATAAATGCATGGAGTGTGGAAAGACCTTTGCTCAAAAACGTCATATTTTTTTTCATAAGATGATCCACACAGGGGAGAAGCCGTATGAATGCATGGAGTGCGGAAAGACATTTACTCAAAGCAGTGGACTTAGAAGCCACAAAAAGATCCATACAGGGGAAAAGCCATTTAAATGCATGGAGTGTTGGAAGACCTTTGCTCATAGATGTAATCTTATTTCCCATAAAAGAAGTCACACAGGGGAGAAGCCATTTAAGTGCATGGAGTGTGGAAAGACCTTTTCTCAAAAACGTAATCTTATTTCCCATAAGATGGTCCACTCAGAAGAGAAACCATTTAAATGCATGGAATATGGAATGAGCTTTGCTCAGAATGATAATCTTATCTTCTCATAAAAGGATCCACGTTCAGGAGAAACTATATCGCAATAGCAATTTTACTTAGACTTATATACTACTCCACAATGATTTACAGGACCCTGAGTGGTTTACAATGTCAGCATATTGTCTCCATCAATCTGGATCCTCATTTTAGCAACCTCAGAAGGATGAAAGTCTGAATCAACTGTAAGCCGGTCAAGACTGAACTCCTGGCTGTGCGCAATTAAACTGTAGTACTGCATTCTAACCACTGATCCACAAATGTGTCTAGATTTTTATGTGTATGCCTATTTTGCTTTTCTGATCCAAATGACACAAAGTTGAATTCAACAATATGAAATTTAATATGAAGAAAAGTAAGATAGGAAGTAAGATACCTGGATAGGAAAAAGAGATTACATGAAACCTGGCCCCAAAACAGTAACTGTCAGAAGGACCTTGGAGTCCAAATGGATGATCATTTAAGCATGAGTTACCTGCGTGTGGCAGGAGCCAAAAAAAACTAATATAATTCTTCGTTGTATAAACAAAGGCATAGAATCAAAATCACGTGAAATATTAGTACCATTTTATAAAGCCTTTGTAAGACCTAAAATATTACATCCGGTTTTGGTCATCACGTTACAAAAAAGATGTTTAGACTATGGAGAAAGTGCAGAAAGAGCAGCTAAGATGATTAAAGGCCTGAAGACTAAAATTTATGGAGAACTGTTGCAGGATTTGAGTTTGGTTAGTCTAGAGAATGGAAGGTTTAGGAGTGACATGATAACAATATTCTGGTATTTCAGAGCCTGCCACAAAGGATGGGGTCCTTTTTTTTTTAAGCACCAGAGGGCAAGACCAACTATCAATTTCCAACATTGGATGGAAATTAAATCAAGCATGTCCTGCTTGAGCTAGACTAGAAGAGCTCCAAGTTCCCTTCCAGCTCTATTCTAATTCTGAATCCTCAATCCTTTCTTGTGCTTTTTTGCTAAGTGGGAGGTTTTAAAGCGAACACGAGCATAGGTGGAGATTAAGGTTATTATTTGGCCTGAAGGTGATGCGTGGCTGCCAATATTTAAGTGGTGGAGATTCCCCAATCACTCCAAGAAGCTCCCTCTGATGACGGAGATCTTTCCTTGCTTTCCCCTCATGTGGCCTATTTCTGGACTCACAAAATCTTATCGATATCTTTTTTTTAGGTGAGGTCTCCAGAACTAGGCGCAGTATTCCAAATGGGATCTGACTAAAGCTGTATGTAGCGGGTTAGAACGTCCTCTTGATGGTGATGGGTGATACATTTGGACAGCTGGGGGGGGGGGGCTCTGCCTTTCTGGTCCCTCCTTCTCTGAGAAGCTGAGCAAATAGTTTGAGAAGGAGGTCTATATGTACTGAAGTAAAAAAACACCAATAAAAATTCCTGATTGTGGCTTTCCTGTCTGTATCCACCTTCCACCCCTTCAGGTCGGAGTTCTCAGCAACCGTAAGACACAAGCTGCATTTCCCAGGGAGCCTCCTCTTCTGACACCCAACTGGGTTTATTCCTTTTGAGGCCTCCTCCAATCTCTACCCAGCCTTCAGGGTGGCTGTTCTTGAGGGAAACGAGTTCAAATCCTGAAGAGATTTTTCTCCATCTCCACAGAAGAGAAGGTGATGGAGAAAGTGCCACCTCTGGAGACGTTGAAGCCTTTGTCTGATGGAGCCATTAAGGGTCCCTTCTACTGTCATACCCATCTGCCCTGCCCTTCTCTTTCCCTAAGACGCTATCCCGCCTTTTATAAAATCCTGGCATTTTGCGCTAAATCCATCAGGGGGCGCGCTTGGCTTAAATACAAGGAATTTCTCTCTCTCTCTCTCTCTCTCTCTCTGTGTGTGTGTGTACACGTACACACACACACAAACAAACACACACTTGCCGCTCTAGGCCGCCGCACTCGCTCTCCTTAACCCGTGGGCCTCCACAGGAGGCGGAGGGGGGGGGAGATCCAGACGTGGCTCTGGTGAGGGGTGGGGGGGCTCTTCCCGGGTCCCATTCTCCTCAGCCTCCCTCTCCATGCCGGGGGATGGTGGGGATGCCTCCCCCACCCGGTGTCCGAGAAGCGCCCGAATGAGGGGAGAGGGGAGGGTCGGCTTGCGGAGGCCCAGCAGGAGAGAAGCCGAGCGAGGAAGAGGCGGGATTCGCACCCGGCTCCCCGAGGGCCCGCTTCTGTCTTCGGAGGGGAAGAGAAGCGGGGAGGCCTCTCCAGCTGCCTCCTTCCCTGACCTGCTCCGGAGGGGGACCTGAGTCCTGCGCTGGGATGGGCAAGGTTGCTCAGTGGCTGAATTCCATTTTCTAATTCCTGCAGTTTATTTTTCTTTCCATCTCAGATATAGAAATTCGAAGCCATTTGAAATCTTTGCAAGTCAAAATTCTCTCTTTGCGGGGAACAGAAAAAAAGAGGAATCACTTGCAGGGATCTGACCTGCTGCGACCCCAGAAATGGTCCTGTGAAGGAAAAGGGATCTGGAGATCCACCAGAGTCCTTGGACCCATTTGGAGTTGCTCTGCAGGAGAGAGAAAGGATGGAGACACAACCTTTTGCAAAGGAGGGAAGCGGAAAAGGCCCTTCAGCTGTTCAGCCTGGGAAGGGTGGAGAGATCTGGACAAGAACTGGGGAGGAGATCCTGGAGGAGGAAACCATCCTCCCTTCAGAAGTCCAGCCTTGCAATTTCAGGAGCCTCCAATTCCGGGAGGCTGAGGATCCCCGAAGACTTTGCAGCCGACTCCACGACTTTTGTAGGCGATGGCTGAGACCAGAAAAGCACACCAAAGCCCAAATTCTGGACTTGGTTGTTCTGGAGCGGTTCCTGTTCCTTCTGCCCCCAGAGATGGAGGGCTGGGTGTGGGAGTGTGGAGCAGACACCAGCTCCCAGGCGGTGGCCCTGATGGAAGGCTTCCTCTTGAGCCAGGCAGAGGAGCAGAAGGAGCAGCTCCAGTTGCAGGTGAGAGCTCAAAAGAGAATGAGAGTGTGCTTGAATACTTCACTCCTCCTTTCCAAATTTCTCTGACATTCATAATATGTGGCAATTTCCCAATTCTTGTAGGACATTGTTCCATTGTTTTCTCACTCAACCGCACTGATGGATATTGGAGGTTGTGTTCCAAATATAAGAATCCACTTTATGTCATGTGATATAAATTAATTCTGCTTCTTTTTTTTCCTTCCTCCTATTTGAAGTCTTGCACTGTAGAGATTAGAGTTCCTGAGGGAAAGAAGAATCCATCAAATCCCCCTCAGGAGCAATTTTTCAGGAGGATCCCTTGGGAAGATCAAAGTCAGGACACCACAGGAGGTAATTAAAGTTCCTCTGATGATCCATCTGTGTTACCTGTCCCTAGCCCCATTAATGAAAGTATATAAAGCTAAGGTTACCTCTATCCTCTTGTATGGAGCAGAAGTTTAGGGTCTATAGTCAAACACAGTCCTAGAACAAACATAGTCCCAGCATTTGAGATGTATTTTGGGTGTAGATCTGCTGCAGCAGTTAGAGCTGAATTGGGAATTCATACAGTTCATGCACTATCCAAAATTAGAACATATTACTGGCACAAAGTCAGTGAAATGGAGACTTATATACTCCCCGGGTTATGTTTACTAGAGCAAATAAAATCACAATCACAAATCTGGATCCCCAAACTAACACATTTTGTCAGAAACTGTGACTTTCCTATCTCTTGCGTAACAGGAGAATGATTTAAAGAAAGAGCTGCCCAAAGAATTAAGAATGTAGAAACACAAAATGATATACGAGGGCTATCCACAAAATAGATTACGTTTTCGTCTGTAGCAAGAAGGGGCGGAGCTAGCGTGGCCATCTTTGGTCTGTGTGTCTGCTGCTCTGTCTGCATCTAGTCGTGCTAGTGGGAGTTTCGTATTGTTGCCCGTTATTTCACAGCAAACGTTTGAAATGTTTGCTGCAATTGAAAATCCTGTGAGTTGTGAGGTGTGATCGGTGATAAGGTTTTTGTTGGCAAAAAAACATAAACCGACTGAAATTTTAATTGGAAAATTGAAAAACTAAGAAAAGCAATTCAGAACGAAGCGTAGAGGAAAGTTAAGCTAAAAAATTTTGTTCCAAGCCAGGTCTTCATCCTCGGAAACAAGTGGTAGTCGCTTGGTGCAAGATCGGGGCTGTAGGGCGGATGAGGAAAAATCTCCCACTTGAAAGCATTCAAGGACTTCTCGAGTGTGATTTGCTGTGTGTGATCAGGCATTGTCATGCAAAAACAAAATTTTTGAGCTTAACTTTCCTCGACGCTTGTTCTGAATTGCTTTTCTTAGTTTTTCAATTTTTCAATTAAAATTTCAATCGGTTTGTTTTTTTGCCAACAAAAACCTTATCACCGATCGCACCTCACAACTCGCGGGATTTTCAATTGCAGCACACATTTCAAACGTTTGCTGTGAAATAATGGGCAACAATACGAACCTCCCACTAGCATGACTAGATGCAGACTGAGCGGCAGACGCACAGACCAAAGATGGCCACGCTAGCTCCGCCCCTTCTTGCTACAGACGAAAACATAATCTATTTTGTGGATAGCCCTTGTAGCTATGCTTAGTAAGGTGGGTAACTTGAAATAGCTGAGCAAATACAAACGTACCTTTCAAATAGACAGCTATTTGAAGTTACATC